TAAGTCTGGCCAAGTGCTGTGAGTGTCTACACATAACCGTGAAGGAATTTAATAATTATTTTGGCTATAATTATGTCTTTCAAAACGTATTGATGTTGCGAGTTGTATTTTTTTTTTTGACTGTAATTTTTTTTTTTATTTCTAAGTTGCTGTTGCTGCATCTTCCGCTCAGTCTCTGGGGCCACGGCTCCACCGGTGGGGGGTGAATATTTTTGTTGAAAGCGGTGGTATTTGCTTTGATGTAGAGAGGCGTCTGTAGGCCTTCAAAGATGCGATGCCATGTGGTCCCTTGTGGTGTGATCGAGAGCTGAGAGATCCTAGCATCTAAAGGTGAGCTCTCACAAGAGCCAGGTGCAGCGTAGCCTGTTGCACTGCTCTCCTCATACACTGCTGTAAATGAATGAATTATACTCGATCCTTGCTGAAGCGCAGAGATGTAGAGGGCGCTGCACAAAACCAGGAATCACTTAGTTAAAGGTCCAGTTCATCCAGACAAAAAGCAAATGCTTGGATTCATGACAAGGGTGAAAGATCAGTGACAAAGGTCATGATCTCCTCTTTCTATTTTCAATAGAGTCTAGAGGATGCAGTGATATTGTGAACTAGATTTTAAGAATTTCATTATCTTTGGCTGTATACATGCTGTATATAAATAAAGAAACAATCAAAAGGGATAATGAAGGCTCATGTCCTCGCAGAACAGAAACACATCACATGGGAAATATTTACTGGGAATTTTAAAGCATGCCTGGAGCAAAGCTTTACCCCTTTTCAGGCTAAATTTAGCATCAGTGAAAGGTTTTGCTAATAATACACAGTGCACTTTGAGCAGAGCATGCTAACACCAGGGCTTTTGTGAAGTGTCCATGAATGTAATCCAGAGCTGCTTTTGGGAGCCAGAGATCTGCTTAGCCTTCAGTCAGACCTGTATCTGCTTAGGGCTGCAGTGGATAGGTAATTACAGCATAACCACTCTTTATGTAAGACCTGTTCACTGTGCACGTATGGACCTTAGGTGACTATATTTAAACACCCACAGCAACCTTAATCCATCCTTAGCTGGATGTGGGCCAACCTGGGCACCCAGGATTTTACCATAACATTCTAACAAAGCTCTGGAGCATAT